CTCCTCCTGGGGTACCTTCTGACCAGCACGCCACTTCTTGGCTTCCTCCTCCAGACCCGCTATGATGGCCTGGAAGCGCTTCACCTTTTCTGCCTCCTTCTCGTACATGCGCTGCCACTGCTCAGCACTCAGCTGCACATTACACTTGGCCTGATTCTTGATGCGTTTGGCCCGCGTGCCAAAGAGGATGGTGGACTTGGTCTCGGCCTCATTGTACTCTGCCGGTGAGCAACAGATAACCATGGTGGTTTTCGCATTGCCGCCCAGCGACTGCTGCAGGATGCGTGTCAGTTTGGAATCACGATAGGGAATGTGGTTCTAAACGGAAAGCAAGCGAGAATAGGCGGGTTGTAATGCAGTTCGGCCCTATTTCAATACATTCAAAAGCTAAAACATGCATCTTTTGAAATATCTACACGTCTGCAAATCAGTCACAGAAGCCAAAAGTCTGATGTGTGCTCATGCAATCAAAATAATGTACATCTGGGCATTTTCATGTTTCGATTTAATGCCGCCTAGAGCTGTAGTCAGTACGAAGAAAGTACATTCAGCCTAGCTAAACGATTAAAACAAGTTGCGAGAAGTATGAAACAAATTAAGTAATAAGGTTGTTGGTTGCCTTCGAAGATGCAATTCTATGTAAAAAGAAACAAACAGGACTTCAGAACAATTTCGTTTTCAGTTGTATTATGAGAATAAACTCAACTAACACTGAGTAAAGGTTGCATAGTAATGGTCTTGCATGCAGAGGTAAATGCCATATTAGATAAAATTTAACAGTGATTAATGGAAAAAAAGCATGCTATAAAACGTAGACTGCGAAAACGACAAGGTTCTTCCGGCTTGCGAGGATAATAAAATGTGAGTTTAAACTAAGCTATACTTCTACAAATATTCCCCATGTTTAACTTGGCGAACGAATGAGAAGGTTCGTGATCCAGGTAGTTGCATGGACGAGGAAGAAGACGTATCGAGCACCAGATCAATTGATGTATTGTTCTGAGCTTTCGAACTCTTACAGGAGTCCATATTCAGAGATGACAAGTAGCTACCAAAAGGGGGTAATTATAGTGGCAATAGGCCAGTAAAATGTCAGAAATCATCAACTTTTCAAGGCTTTAGAAACAGCAATCAAAAAGGGTGAGGGGGAGGGTAATTAGCTGTCAGTGGAGTCGGGGGCAATTATAATGGTGTACACTAATTAGCTGTCAGTGGAGCAGGGGGTCATGAACAGCAATTAGTGAGGCGCCTTGTCACCCGGTAGAGGGTCCTTAAAACCCTGCCTCCGCTTCCGGCCGGTTCGTTTTGCAGTTCTCTTCGTTTGCCATTCCTACGTTCGGTTTGGCCTTGTTCTGTTTTTTTTTTCACATAATGACGCAAGACTTTGTAGGCAGCGGGTAGGTCTAGATGCGTGTTGACAGAGTTGGCATCTGAGA